ATTAATTAATTAAAAATAATATATTGACTCTCCCATCATAAAATTGATCAAAAGAAACTGCAAATGTGTACAAACGTTTTGGAAAACAATTCTTCAGTGTCATCAAAAGATATAAATTTCATTCCCTTGACTTACTGTCAGGTAATCCACCCTAAGCAGTCACAAAAACAGATAAATTTTTATGTATGAAGATGTTTTGGCTACTTACCAAAAATTACACCCCCAAAAATCTCATCTGTTCACCGGTAGGGAGATGGTTAAATAAATTATGATTTAATCAGTTGCAGTCATTAAAAACTATGTATGGGAAGAGTTTTAATGAAATGGGAAAATCATTACAATAAGTAAAAGAGTAGGTTTTTAGATGTATATTCATTAGGTTTGCTGTCAGGTAAAAATACATAAAGTCTGTAAGAAAATGTTAAATATAAATAGTGGTTTTCTTTAAGTACATAGTAGAATTATGGATATTTTCCCCTTTTAAAAAATATTTTCTGAGCCAGCCCTGATGGCGTAGTGGTTAAAGTTTGGCACTCTCACTGTTTCAGTGGTCCTGTTTGTTTCCTGGTTGTGGAACCACACCACCCATCTGTCAGTTGCCGTGCTGTGGCAGTGGCTCACATAGAGAACTAGAAGGACCTACAACTAGGATATATAACCATGCAGTGGGGCTTTGGGGAGGGAAACAAAAAAGAGGAAGATTGGCAAAAGATGATAGCTCAGGGCAAATCTTTCCCTGCAAAAAAAATATATATTTTCTATACTTTACAGATTTTCTGCAACAAAGCATGGGTTGTTTTTTTTTTTTGGTCATCAGACAAAAAACAATGTAACTTAATGTGATGTTGGGCTTCAGTATTCCTAAAATGTGTTTGGTTTCTTTTACATACAGAGGATAACAAATTTATTAAGCTACATGCTGAAGCTATTCTAGACATGTAACATGTGAACTTGGTTCTTCAACAGGATGTACCCTTTACATCGTCTGGGCCACTCTCTACCGATGTGCCTTGGATGTCATGATCTGGAACTCTGTGTTCCTGGGTGTCAACGTTTTGCATCTTTTATATCTTTTGTACAAGAAAAGACCGGTAATTACTAAAAATTAATCAAAAAGGAAGAGATTTTAAAGCTTAAAAGCTTTTAAATTACTTTGTTCAGACTTGAGAATAAGCATCTAACATCTTTATTCCCTTTAATATCATTTCTTTGAAAATTAGACTTTTTGTTTACATATGCCTGAAAGTGAAACATTTGAATACATGAAATTTGTTCTACAGACAAGTTTTTAAAACTTTTTAAATCATTAAGGCAATTTAGACATGAGAGAACATGACAATTTTCTCTCTTTTTTTAGTTGTATAACTTCATTATTTCTTTTGTCTATTGATATTCATATATCACTTGGGAATATCTTTGCCTAGTTATAAAATTAATTACTCATAGGCAACTTCCATGAGCATACTAATGATTGATGAATAGCTCATGTTATTTTTTTCATGCTGTTTTTTTAAATGTAATGACTATTTTTTTCTCTTATGCCCAAAATATTCATTTATGGAAGTCACCATTTTTGGTGAGTTGTTACCAAAACACTAGTATTTAACTTTTTCTTTTCAACACTGGTTGATCTTGCTGTGTTTCCTTGGTCATACCAAGAACAAAAAGATGTGAATAGAATAGGAAAACAGCATGGCTCCTAGAAATCACTCCATTCGTGTTTACTGACTACCCAAAGCACACACGAATATTCAGTAAAGTAAAAGATATAATACTTGCCCTAATCCTATGTTCAAGGCCAGACATGGGTGTAGAAAACTAGTAGAAAATAAGACAATTCATAGGAAATTACAATTTGAATGACACAGATGATATATGTAATAGGTATTCTACTAGATTGTAACCTCCTCAAACATTATAACCCAGTTTGTTTTGCTTACCATATTAGTCAGTTTTCTCTAGTTTATGCTGTGTAACAAACAACCCAAAAATCTCAGTGACATATAGCAGCAACAGGCTTTTTTGCTCACTCGCCTTAGACATGGACTCTGGCAACTGTGTATCAGCTGTGACTTTGTTCCCTGTGTCTTCATTTTAAGTCTCTGCTGAAGAAGCAGATTCTGTCTGGACGTGCACTCTCATGGCAGAGAGAAAAGTCCCAGAGAACAAAAGAGAAATACCTAATGTCTCTTAAAACTTTGGCTCACATTTCATTGGTCAAAGCAAGTGACATGGCCAAGCCTGATAATGTGGGAGTAGGATGGGGTAAGGGGATAAACAATCCTCTTCTGAGGGGTGGGAGCAGCAAATCATTGGGAACAATAATATCATCTACCACACTTACTGTTGTATTTCCTGTTCCTGTCAACCATGATTGACACATCATAGGTGCTCAGAAAAACATTTGATGAGTGGATGCTTTCAAAGAGAAGACTTAAGGCTTCATGAAGGAATTGGGGCTTGAGCTAAGTCTTACAGGATGAGCAGATTATGAAAATGAGTCAATAGATTTTTCAGTTCATATGTTCATTACTGTGTCACATTGGCTAGTGCGCATGCTGGAAATGAGACATATTTGTGAATAAATTATTTTAAACACTCATTACTAGAGCTCTGGAGTAGACGAGGTAGATGATGGTAATAATGAGGATTATGGTTTCAGAATATCAGAACTTGCTGGAACCCAAGTTCTGAACAAAAGGTTCAGAAGATGCTGATGTGATGGTTGCACTGAGGAAGTAAATCACTTAGTACCTGTGCTTTTGTTTCTTCTCAGACTATCAGTCTACATTTTTGAAAAATATAAGTGCTGATTCTTCATTAGAATGAAACAGCAGGACAAGAGCTTTGCAGATGCTGCAGTGACATCTGAGCAGCTCTCTTGATCTGGGTCTACCAGCTTCATAGTGTAGCTGCCATAGATTTCATTGGGATGGATGATCATTTGAGCCCCAGTGTTCATTCACATGCGGTACAGTTTTCCCAGACTGATGCTGGGCCCACAGATGGGCTGTGACCTGGGCCTTGGATAGTCTGACAGCAGGGACAATTTTGCTTTTCTCTTCTCCAGTAGCTAGCTTTACTTGTCAGGGGATTCTCCATTCTACAGAGTTTATTTTAGCTTAGAATGAAATTGCTGCACTGAAACCATTTTATACTCTTTACTTTGCTTCAGAATAAAAAGTGAGAAGCAATGTTTGTAGCCGTGGATGTTTGTTTTCCTATCTTGATGCATTAAATAATAATTACATGTAGATACGGTGCTTAATGCGTATGTTTTCGTGAATTTGTTTCCACGTTGATTCCTATTTTATGTGTTTATTTTCTTGCTGTAATATTTCAAGGTTAGTATAATTTCTTTCTGTGAAACAAAATTGTTCTAAAAACGAGAAGGTTTTATATTATTTATAGAAAATGCTAAGACTGGGAAGGTGAATGTTGTGACAATATTCAGAACCTCCACAGTTGCTTTATGGCTCAGAGGAAGAGATGTGATCAGTAGTGCAAATCTTCCCCATATGCTCTCCGAGTTCAGTTTAACTGCAAAAGTGCCGTTTTAGCATGGAAACTTAGATCACCACTTACTCTCTGTGTAAGATTCCATTTGTTTGTTGTCTAAACCATATTGAGACCACGGAAGCCAACGTTTTGGTGTTGCTACTTTAGTGCAGCATCTCATCATTGCTGCATTTCAGGTGAAGATTGAAAAGGAACTCAATGGCATCTACCGGCGGTTGTTTGAACCGCTCCGTGTGCCTCCAGATTTGTTCAGAAGATTGACTGGACAGTTCTGCATGATCCAAACCTTGCAAAAGGGCCAGACTTATGCTGCAGAGGATAAAACCTCAGTTGACGACCGTCTGAGTATTCTCTTGAAGGGAAAGTAAGTACTCTGTGGAAATTGGAATTCCCAGGTTGCCTTGAATCTTATCATGGCCTCTGGGTAGGAAATGAATGTGGAGGGGAAGCTTGCTAACTAATGGAGGAAGCAGTCACAGAGTTTGTTGCTGGTGAAATTTCATTTTACCACTGCATTTTAGAATGCTATAGAGCAACATGTTAAAGTTACGTAGGATTTGCTGCTCTGAATCTTGTTGATGTCAGGATTCTCAATTGTTAATATTTTTAACCTTTTATTTAAAATTAATGAGCCAACACTGAAGTAGGTTTAAATCAGGTATTAAAATTCAAGAACCTTATGCATGTTTCAGAGGTGATTTATTTTTTTGAATATTACAAAAATACAACTTCTGGGAATATCAGTCTTCTGGGGAGAGAGCCAGTGTATATTGTTCTGGCATAATTATTATTAATGTTAATAATAATTTAATAATTGTTATAATGAATGTATAATATTAAATATTATAGTAATTTAATAATTATTATTTCTCTCTCAAAAGTGTCTGAGTTTGAGTAATAAATTGTATGGTCACCCCAGCTATAAGAGCGATGATGACCATTGGAAGGCACATGTCTGGTTCAACAGAGGATGCTTTTTTTTTCTGGTTGTTGGTGAAACTTATTTTGAAATAAATACTTGTGCTTCAGGAAGTGCTTTTAATTATGTCAGTCATCTGTGGAATGTTTCAAACTTGCGTACAAAATTCAAACCCATTAGATTATGGAGATTTTAAGGATTGTCATGTTATTTGTGAACTATTATGTGTTTATTGACATTAATTTCTGTCATCAGAATGAAGGTTTCCTATCGAGGACATTTTCTGCATAACATTTACCCCTGTGCCTTCATAGATTCTCCTGAATTTAGATCAACTCAGATGCACAAAGGTGAAAAATTCCAGGTATGCTTTGGCATGATTTTTAAGAAGATTGAAACTAGTTCATGTCTCATTCAAAATCCAAAGGATATTAATAGAAAAGTGGCCATGATTTATTGAAAGAAGAGATGACCGTATGGTATAGATAGTATGATCCCATTTTTGTAAAACTTAAAATAGTGTGTATACATGCACAAAAGAGGTCTAGAAAGATATATCCTAATTTGGCCATGGCGTTAACACTGTTAACCCTGCGTTGTGAGTTTGATTGCTTTTTTGTTTTCTTCCTTTTTGTTTATTTGAACTTTTACAATTTTTCCACTGAAAACATCTAATGCTTTTATTATGAGAAAAAAGGAAAATGTCAGTTGTGGATAATCAGTGTTCCTAAAATTCGTAATTGGTTACTTTTATTGGGGAAAAACAGAAAACTGGCTTTGCCCTAGAGAACTTTTGTTAATCCTTATGAAAAAAAAAATCTAATGACCTCACTGTTTTATATTTAATGAATATGTTTAAGGGCAAAGAATGAAGTTTTTCATAGTTATAATAATTTGAACGTGGACCACTCAGCGTGATTCTTTTTCTGTCTTAAAAAAAAATGCTCCGTTACATGGCACTTCGTTTTGATTCTTTCTGTAAGTATCCAGTCCTGTTTTATTTCCCTCATTACTGGTAGGAAAGTAGCCAAGAAAAAGGGTGCGAGTTTCCTTTAAGCTCAGCCTCTAAATAAATAGCAGTAAGGAAATATCCTGAGAACAAGGTTGCTTATGAGCCAGAGGGTAAATGTATATAGGTAGGAAGTGGAATAGAAGGGGATATTGTCGCCTGAGGGAGGAAAAGTCAGTGTTTCTTGATGACAGATCTTATTTTGGAATCTCCTTTTGAGATACTATACAATTTGGGATGCCGCATGGAGATAAAAGGACAATTTACAGACACACAGTTTAGTTTAGTTTATTTACAGTGGTTTCAGCCCTGCCCTGCTCCCACCCTGCCTGAGTAACCTGCACAACTTGTTAAAATTATGTATATTTACTAGAAGGTCTCATATAAGTTCACTAACTGGCTTCACTGCTGTTCCCAAGCTGGCTAAGCTTAAGATACAGAAGGAGAGTGAACGCTGTGTCCTGGCTCCCCTAGTTTACACTCTCACCTTGTGTTTGTGAGGGTCAGCGGTGCACTGAGAGTAACCTTCTTATTGTATCTTTATTCACCACCTTCTGCAGACTAGTACAGGGCCACTTCTTTCCTCTCGCCTTCTTTCCTCTGACCTCCTTATAATTTCTTTATCCAAAGCCCAAGTTTTCCATGCTGTATCCATTTCTTCGTGTATAGTGGCAAGTGGTTTTACACAATAGCTCAGTCTTATGTACTCCTGAGGAGACTGGGATTTGGGAGAGGATGGGAACTGAACCTTTTTTGTTTCCAGAAACAAGTGGCCCCTGAGAGGCCAGGGATATAACATGTACTATCTTTTCCACTGGACCTCAAATTATATTATACAGTCATGTGCTGCATAACAGCATTTCAGTCAACAACGGACTGCAACAGTGGTGTCATAAGATTAGTACCATATAGCCTAGGTATGTAGTAGGCTATACCATCTAGGTTTGTGTAAGTACACTCCACGATGTACACATGACAAAATCGCCGAATGACGCATTTCTCAGAGTGTATCCCTGTTGTTAAGCGATGCATGAATGTATTTATAATTAAGTTAACAAAAAAGAATTCATACCAGTAGTTACAATTTTCTTTCTCCTTGAGGACTGAGGATTGGAATTTGTGGTTGATAAATATTCCTGATAATTGCTATTAAGATTCCAAAAACATGACCAAAATTGAGGTACCGTAGCTGGGTGGAGGATATTTATTCAGCCTTCCCAAATACCAGTCAGCTTTTCTCTGTGTAGACTCTGGTGTGGCATTTCCTGATTGGCCAATGGGTAAAAACTCCCCTAGCATCATCGAACCTGTGTCCTTTACAATTGGAGCAGACTCCATCAGAATAAGCCCTGGGGAGAGATTATGTTCTGATTGTTTACAAAATGTTCCTCTTGGCAGATACTCAAGAGAAAAAATAGCTGTTGCACATCTGTGTAGGAGTCTATTGCCTCTTTGTGAAGCAAGTTTCCAAATGAAAAATGTCACGTGCTCCCAGGGCTAACTTCTCACTGTCTCTGCCCATGGCAGAGGACACTTGAAATTGTCAGTAGTGGTCAAACCTCTCCAGCCACACAACTTTTACCTGCTCATCTCATTTTTCTCTAACTCTGAACAGTTACAAGTGTTCTGACAAGGAGCTACTTCCTTTGAATTTTTATTTCTTTAAATTCACTCTTTGGTGTAGGGGTTCTAGTGAATTAGACAATAGGGTGAAAGGAGGAAAGAAAGGCAAGTGGACTCAATGACTGTCCCTTGAGATTGCACACAAATGTTGTTCAGGCACATGTGGTCATTACAATGACAGGCATAGAGACAGAGCTGAGAAAACAGCTTCTGAACTTACAGCTGCTCCCTCCGTGCTTACGGTCATTTTGGTACTTAACAGACCAACGTTGCTACTTAGAACTGTGGATAGAATCTTGAGTATCATTACCACAAAAGGTGCAAGTCGTCTTTTGTGTTTGATTTCCTCTTCTTTCTGCCCTCATTTTATATCAAGTGAGCTTCACCATTTGCATGTTTTTCTTTTGTATTCTGTCTCACACTATTGCCTTCCCATAGTCGATAGCATGTCCTGGGAAGCCTGAAAATCACAGCTTCATTGACTTTAAGGGAGGAAGAATGTCTTAGAGGCAGATGTCCAAAGTCTTGTGAAGTAATGAACGCTAAGTTTGAATGGGTATTTAAACACAAGCTTACCTCAGCAGTCAGTAAATCTTTTGCTTAAGCTACAAAGCAATTTCGTCTGCCGCTGTTGACTCTGCTGTTTTAGTGCTTTTGAGAACTCAGTCAGCATCAGTTGAACAGATCACTTCTAGCACGTTTTCGTATTCTTGGTGTGTGAAATGTTGTACAATACATGAAGAAAAAAAAATAAATTCTCCCCTGAGGACAGTCAACCAAGTCGTGTTGTCAGACTGCTGTTTCCAGTGCTAGCACATTCAGCACTTCCCTCAGACGCCCTTTTTCTTGTGTAATATATCTTCTCATTATGTGAGGGTGTAGAATTGTTTGGAATCTAATGTGAAGGATTGATCCAGTGTCTTGAGGTAATCATGGCAAACCCGGTTACAAACCCTTAGTCTAATTCTCTACCTGAATGAAATCTTTTTGTCTTTTTTTTTTTTTTTTTTTTGGTGAGGAAGATCAGCTCTAAGCTCACTTCTGTTGCCAATCCTCCTCTTTTTTGCTGAGGAAGATTGGCCCTGGGCTAACATCGGTGCCCATCTCCCTCTACTTTATATGGGACACCGCCACAGCACGTCTTGACAAGCGGTGTGCCAGTCTGTGCCCAGGATCCAAACCCGCAAACCCCAGGCCGTCGAAGTGGAGTGCACGAACTTTACTATTGCACTGGGGCAGCCCCCCTTCTGTATCTTTTATTGCCATGCTTGCTTTTATTTCTTCAGTAAAATTCTTCACAAGAACTCAACCATGGTACTGCTGAGGTACCCTAATAACTTAAGAAGCAAATTTATTTTATGGAAGCTTTAAAAATTCCTATATTGCTTAATAAAAATTCCTCATTAAAAATATGTTTTACTTGACTGTTGTGACAAGAAATGATGAAATAAAACTATTTGGCAGAAGTGAAATATTAGCTATCAAGTAAAATGACCTTGGTCAATATGCTACTTACCCAATTCCTACTAAACGCCTGCTCTTGTAGACTTGTAAGTTATTCACACATACTGTAGGTATAGCTTACTATTTGAATACTGTTATTAAATTTAAATTTAATAATAATTTAAACAAGTTTAAAATATTTTTCAACCATCAATAAGAAATGGATTTGCTAAGAAAATTATGGTATCATATTAAAAGTATCACTGCCTCAGTGGAAACTTGAGGTTATTAAAATGGTTGAAGAGAAGTTAAATGCATTATACATCACCTAGGTTCAATTTCTTTTTCTTCTCCTGGATGGTTTCCAACTCCTCTTTTAACTTTTTCCTCCATTCTACATGAATTTTATTTTCTAAAGTCGTGAATGACGTCTTTGCAAAATGAAGGAACCTCAACTCTCCTAACCCTTTCTTCAGCGCTTGGGTGCATGACTGGGCCACCATGAGTACCCAGTGCACACCTTTCTCTAATTATTCCTATAGAATATTCTTCAGTTGCCTTGCATTTACTTACCCATCTCCTACTGTTTCTAGGAACTCCTTAGAACTGGCTTGACCTTATACTTCTCTTCCTATAAATCTTGTCTTTTTTTGTTGTACATCTTTACTTATTATCACATTCCTCCACTAGAATGTAGACTTCATGACGTTGTGTTCAGCTTTCTTTGCAAGTGGAACTCTTGATGGTGAGCCAACCTTGTGGTCACTTGGCCAAATTACTTTCTATGTGATGGTCTTGATGAATATTGAACACATTGGGTAGGGTTTGGCCTGGAGGGAAAGTATGTCTGGGCTGGAAGTCAGAAGTGCTCACTCCACTGCTAATTAACATGTGTTCATAAATAAGTTTTTTGGTGCTTCTCATTTGGCATCTGAAAGATGGAAAGAATATTACCTGTCTTATCTTAAAGGCAATTTTGAGGATCCGCTTACAGGTAGATGTAAAAACACCTAAATGTTTAAAAGTAAAATACATATATAAAGTGAGTGGCATTATGTGCTATTGTTATTCCCTAGTTATTCTCTACCACTTTCCCCTGTTCTGTATTTGTCAAAACTCTTATGGCCACCTGAGGGTGTCATATTTCTTTATTTATTATCAGCTTCCTCCACTAGAATGTAAGCTTCTTAGGGCAAGGATCTTGTCTTTCTTGTTCACTGTTGTAACCTCAGTGCCTTGTTCAGTGTCTGTCATAAAGTTCATGCATAATAATGTGTGTTGAAAGAATGAATGAAATGTAGTGTTTCATTCAGTCGTAGAGCTGCTGATACGTTTCTTAAATCCAAATGTGGATTTCGATTTTGGAGATTACTACTTTTAATATAATAAGTAAGTGCAAACTTTTTTCTAGGAATATTGACCCACTTTTTAAAGTAGCCAAACCCTCTAATTTGCTAAAGATCAGACTTCAGCTATTGACATAAGGAGAGAAGCTGGGTTTTCCATTTTCTCTCTTAGTAGACATAAATACCCCCTTGTCATCTGAAATATGTTTAATTTTGTGACTAGCCAAGGGGAAAGAGCTCCTTTAGAAATATTTGCTCTGAGGCTCAGATATGACTTAATGTCAACTTAAAAAATGTTTATTGATCTTCTACTTGGACAGGCATTGGGTTTAATGTTGAGGAAGTAAAAATGGTTTCTGCCTTCAACAGTATTTGTGTTCTTTTGTTAATTCCTTCATATAATAAATATGCATTGAGCACCACTCTGTGTTGGAAGCCGGGCATTCAGACGTGAGGATGCACTAGCCTTGCTGTCAGAGTACTCAGGAGAGACAGATCTGTCAACAGATTTAATGGATTTTGGATTCAGTGATATGCGATATTCATGAGCCTCATGAAGCTCAGAGGAGGAGTACTAAGTGATGGGAGGGACCTGCGTGGGAGGAAGGGCTTCCTGATGCTGAGCTGTGAGTGTGGGCATGGCCCTCACTCTGGAGAAAGGATTTATCAGAGGAATAAGCAAGCTCTGCGTAGTGCGATTACAGTGCTTTCCCACTTTCCATGTAACAATACGTAAGGAAAGGGTATGGTTTCCCAGTGCTGAGCTAACTAGGGGATCTCTATGAGGGTCCCCAGTGGGCTACCCTGGAACTAGCCTTGAAAGGTCACATTCGAGAAATACCTATGACAGAAGGACCCTCACTAGCCATATTCATCATTAACAGCCTGGGCCCTAAAACCAATTCTCGTGCGTCAGTCTTCTCATTCTCTAGTGTGTTTGCAGCGTCGGCTGGGCAGTTCTTTCATCTGTAACTTGCCTCCCCAATCTTACCTCAGTTCCTTTGGTTGCAGCTGTATTCTTAAACCCCTGTTGTAATTATCAGGGCGTAAAGAAATATTTGGTCGTAAATTATATGTACAGTCGGAACATCAGTCTAGTGCACTTTACAGCAGTGGTATTGACACAGGGGCCGTTCTTCTGTCACCACACCTCACAAAACAAAACAACAAAGCTTGGAGAATGTGCGTTTATTTAGTCTGAAGGTTGTTTTTAAATGTAATTCTATATTTTGTTATAGAAGCTTGTGTGTATTGGGTCTTATTTTAATTTAACTAATATGACAAATCATGGCTATAATAATATCCACCAAATTACTTCTCCCTGCCCCTAGGTTACTACAGTCATAATTCATATAGTTAGACATGCTTTTTTCTTTCTCTGTTTCTTTATCAGGTCACCATTATTGCAGATGATAACTGCAGATTTTTATGCTGGTCAAGAGAAAGATTAACTTACTTTCTGGAATCAGAACCTTTCCTGTATGAAATATTTAGATATCTTATAGGAAAAGACATTACAAATAAGCTGTATTCATTGAATGATCCCACTTTAAATGATAAAGTAAGTGTCTTTGTGTTTATTTTGTTAAATAAATATGTATAGGGAGGTATACCTCACTTTTATGCAATATATATTTTTCTGAATTTTCATTAATTACTCGTGTGTTAGTGAGGTGGGAACGCTTGTAATTTAGAGACCCTTCGGGGAATCGTTTCTCAAGAATGAGGAAATATTTTGTAGTTATTACATTTGCCATGACCTGGTGAGGTGTCTCTAAGTGTCAGGGACCTCCATTTGTGGTGATGAGGTCTACCCTCTTCACAAAGAGTCTTTTAAGCAATCTGAGGAAGGTGGTGAGGGACTGGGAGGGGGCCGGGGGTGGAGGAGGCCCGAGAAGGCAGGGGAGTGGGGAGGCTGCAGACTGACAAACCCCAGCAAGCAGGAAGTTGGCATTTTCACCCTGGTGTCTTCCAGTCCTGCACTTCCTCCTGGTCAGCCCCCCTCCCAGAAAGCCCGTAAGTGACAAGAGAGGTCTGGGACAGAAGCCTGCAGCAATTCAGTTAGGAATTTCTAGCTGTATAGATCCTCAACAATTTGCACTTTGATCTTCATTTCTCCACATTTTCTTAAAAGGAAATTAAAATGATTACAGACGGGAACTTGCAAAATATTGTTTCTGTGATAAGTACTGTTCTCCAGGGACTGTGAGTATGGGTGGGTGCTTTCTTAAAATCGTCTTCTCTAGGCTGCTTATCAAATTCAGTTGGTGCTTATTACTTTTCAGATTAATAAATAGACTATGAGTATATTAAATTTTTTTATAATGTATTTTAGTAATAGCATATAATAAAAATTATAGCTAACATTTAATTGGGCACTTACTAGTTACCAGGTAGTCTTTGATTTCAAGGAAAAGTAAATGCAGCTTACAGGGAATATATGATCTAAGTTCCATAGATTCTCAGAAATCTTAAAACTTTGCTTTGTAGAAGGCCAAAAAGTTGGAACACCAGCTCAGCCTCTGCACACAGATCTCCATGCTGGAAATGAGGAACAGCATAGCCAGCTCCAGTGACAGTGAGGACGGCTTACACCAGTTTCTTCGGAGCACCTCCAGTGTGTCCTCTCTTTGTAAGTTATCCTCAAACTGATAATACTCTGGGATTCTGATGGATGTCACTAGAAATAGATGACAACTTTGATCAGAAAAATAACTTCACAGGAGGCTATTTGGCAACCTAAAGGTAACAATAAAAATAATCAAATTTTTCCTAGCTTATCTTCCGTATTGCACATCAGCTAAAATCCAACTTTAGAACCCTTAGTTCCATTTCAGAAATCGTTCACTTGTTTTGCCATATACTTTTCTTAAATACTCCTGGTTCACTGGCATAGTGTGGAAGCGTCCATATGGTTTGCTGGATATTCGGCTTTGTTGTTTTCATGATTTTAGTTCCAGTGAAAGCCTAGACCCAGCAATGTGTAAAAATGGTAGGAAAGAACTGCTGGATGTTTTACTGCTGGCTGGTTATCTCAGTGTGAGCACGAAGAGTTAACAGGTGATTGGGTAATGAAATATTCCAGAAGATCAAGGAAACCACTCAACACCCCTGTGAGTTACCTTATTCGCACACCCACCAAGAGGCACATTTTCCAAGATTCTTCTATAGTTTAGATTGTTTTAAAACATTTTAAGTAACACTAATGTCACAGATTTTGAAGATTAGTAAGTAAAATGAGATTAAAATTAAATTTAATGTTAAATTAAATGCTTAAAATTATCTTAAGAATTATTCCAAGAATGATAGTATAAGAACTTTGAACAAATTCATGTGAAACAGCCAAAAGGCAGATAAATTCTCCCATTGCATAAACTAAAATCTATTAATATTTCCAATTGTATATTACTCCAAAGTAACCTTTAATTCAGGTATACATTGAACAATCCTAAGTGTTTATGTAAATGATCTTCTAACTTTGGATGCTTTAGATACATTGGATTAAGGATTTTAAGTATCACATAGTCAGGAGAGGCTGGAATTTGACAAGGCCATATAATTGGTGTAAGCTTCCAAAGCAAAGTCTAGGCATAGAAATGTGACCTAAAGGAGATTTCAGGAACAACACAAATGAGAAATTGGAAATGGTTGTATTTTATTCCAAAGTAGCTTTTGAAAGTACTGAGATTGACCAAACTCTGTAATCTAGTAGCATATCAAATGTATCATCTGCCTTGTTGAAACAGTTTGGTGGTCAATAAGCATTTTCAAATGGACCCATCTGAATTATATGTATAGTGATATACTATTCCTATAGAATAGCTTTTTTTTTTTTTTTTGGTGAGGAAGATTAGCCCTGAGCTAACATCTGTTGCCAATCCTCCTCTTTTTGCTGAGGAAGATCGGCCCTGGGCTAACATCTGTGCCCATCTTCCTCTACTTTGTATTTGGGACGCCACCACAGCATGGCTTGATAAGCAGTGCATAGGTCTGTGCCCGTGATTGGAACCTGTGAACCCCGGGCCATTGAAGCGGAGCACACAAACTTAACCACTATGCCACCAGGCCAGCCCCTAGAATAGCTTATTTTTGTAGTTCCTTTTTTTTTCAGTTTTACAGTCTTGCTTAGGAAGCACCAAGAACAAGCAGTATGTATAGTATGACCATTTGTTTTCTAAAAATCAGTTTCTTTTTCCTGTGTTATTGTATTACATAATCTAAATCTTTTGAGGATAACATTTTAGGAAAAAAAAGACTTATTTAGAGTATGTTGTTTAAATAGAATTAAAACATGTTTTCAAGATTAAGTACTGGACAGTGCTCTCGAGACAAGCACTGTACTTGCTTCCAGAAACCTGTATTTGCAGGTGCTCAGTGGATTGATCACACATGTTGTGCATACAGATCTGGGTTCAAATCTTGCTGTAATAATTGTTAGCTGTGTGACCTGGAGTAAATCACATGACCTTTCTAATCTGACATGAGCTGTCATATCTCAGCGCAGGCTTGGTTCTGGCCACGACGCCTGGTCTGTTTCCTTCCCTTTTATAGCGAATCGTGAGTTTAATCCAAACAGCCGTTCCCGGCATGGATCGTTAAAACTTCAGTGTTTGTACAGAAGTGTGCTGCCCTTGAGTGCAGGGTCACATTTTTACCTCTCAGTGCCCTTGTCTAGTTGGACTTAGCTGTACTAAAAATGTGTACGACCTGCTTAAGTTGTTTGATTATTTTAGCCTCAGATTTATTATGCAGAATCTTACACATGATCCAAACACGTGTAGCTACAGACGCGGGCGTCTTTTTGAGCGTGTGTGTGTGAATCGCACAACAGATCCATGTTCATACCTGCTTCCTTGCACCAGTCCTCACTCTGAGTTTCTTGGCTTCACTCCTGCAGTTTAATGAAAGACGTTAGTACTTGAGCAGAACACACTGATACTAATTATGAATTATTTAATTCACCCAAGCATGTAATTCATTAAAAACTGGTTAGTTCTTGTTTCTCTTACTTAAGTTTTAGCTCAGAACTATAGAAGGCTGTTTTTGTTTTTCTTTTGCCAGACCCATCAATATGCCGTCTACTTTTCCATATTACAGACTACATTCCTTGTAAAACAGAGAATACGAAACTAATCTCTTAGGACTGTCAGGCTGAAATAAAATTTATCACATTTTGAACACGTGGTAGGCCTTCACCAATGTTAGGTTCCTAAAACAAGTGACTAAGCTCTGATTATTCCAGGTTCCTGATGTGCCAGTGGGGGCAACTGTGGCAGGTGCTCTCAGCGATGGTATCAGCTTCGTGAATGCTAGAAGAGAGAAGGGAACAAACGTTTATTGACAATAGCAGCTATTATTTTTTCAGGTACTCCATACATAATCCCATTTAATCTCCACTATAGTCCTGCGTGGAGAGGTGTGTTAGTTTTGCTAGGTGATGCAGCGCTAACAGATAGTCCCCCAAATCTCTCGCTGTAACAGAGAGGCTGCCTTCTCGCTCACGTGCACATCAGTGCTGTTCCAGGCGTGTCCTACTCACTCTAGGACACCAGAGGATCGGTTGCTGCCTGGGTCACTGCCATTCTCATGGCAGAGGGAAGACAGTAGTGGCAGAATTATTGATGGCTGTTAAAGCTCCCCTTTAGAAGTGTCGCATGCCACTTCCGCTCATGTTTCCTGGACCAGAGAAGTCACTTGGCTAGAACTGCCATTAGCGTATGGATCTTCAGTCCTGCAGGGGCTGCGCAGGAAGGGCATGGAAGGGCAACACACACACACACACACACGCACAGATTGATTGTACTTGGTGGTTGCATCACCGATAAGTGGTGCCAGTACAGGCATTGTCATGGCAACAGGAGGACACGTTTCCTTGAAAGTTACACAACTTTATCTTAGTTAATTGGGGTTAAATAACCTATTGTTTGGTTTGTTTTAAATCCTGAGGCAATATAGGCAATGCAGCCAGTTGGAACTCATCTTTGTAAGATTTTGTTAGTTTAAATGTATTTTTTCAGAAATTATAATTAACATTTATGATTTTTTAAAGATACTATGTAATGTTTAGAGATGTTTCTCACTGACAAAAAACCTTTTCAAGTTTTTTTTGTTACTAATGTCAAGATGGTGCTCTGGACAGTCTACTAATTTCATGTGACCTAGTTGCACAAATATGCTTTAAGTCAAGTTAGCTTGCGTCTGGTTAGTATTCTTGTCTGCAAAGACTAGCAACATATCTGACATAATGAGTTTCTCTCAGCTCTCTTATCTATTTACCTACCTAGAAAGATGCAAAAAGCCAATATAGCATTCTTAGTTTCAAAGCTGGTTTCATGAAATAATCTGTTCAACTCAATTTGTATTTCATTCCCCCTGTGAACAACTGTAGATTTATACACAACAAGCTTTAGGTGAGTTATATGGAGAGTAGGAAGGAGATGTGATCAGGAATCAAGAATACGGAGGAAGAGCCCATGAAAACTTCTCAGCCCCACCAAGATGGTTAGTGAAAAGCAGTGCCCCCACTTTACAGATGAGTGGAGTGCAGCTTAGAGAGCTTAAAGAACCAGATCAAGGCCACTCCGCTCGCCTTGAAATGGAGAAGTGTTGAATTTGTTATAAGTTGTTGCTCTGCGTTTTACCTCGCAAATATTCAGATCCGTGTGTGACTGTAAACTTGTTTGGGGGTATTCAGCCACTGCTGCAGCAGCTGACACATCCTGACCACTTTCATACATGTTCTCATTTACTCTCCACAACCACCCAGTGAGGTTGGTGTTCATTTTCCCCTTTGAAGGTTGAGGAGTGTGACATGGATCTCCTCTGCGTCCTTGGTTCCCCAGCCAGTAGGGGCTGTGCTCTCTGTCTTCAGAACCCCCGCCCTCACCAATCCATGAGATGGCCTCTATCCTCACACAGCATTTTCTCATCTATAAGATGACTGTAAAAGGATTTTATTCAGTTATACATTTCAATCTTATAATCAAAAATTTCAAAAATTATCAAGTTAATATACACGCATAGATATCAAATAGTAAAAAAAAACATCTTTCAAAGAAAAGAACTGGCCCCCTCCAACCTTATTGCTCCCTAGGAACAATCACATTGGCACGATTTTTGTCCAAAATGCTAAATAATGTGCTGTTATTTATTGATTTATCCACTTAACCTTTATCTTCTAGCCTAACTTAGCTCGCTTTTTAACTTCCCTTCCTCCTCCTGCGCAGTATGGTGTGATAGCACTAGTTTTTATTCCTATATTGTTCACCTTTGTAACATTAAATAATACACTTCAACCTCCATTTCTTTTCCTCTCTGAAGCATTTTTAAAGGTGAAGACATTATCATCCCAACTCTTTCTCATTCTTTCCCCCTTCTACCTTCAAACTGTCATGGGTCTCTTTTTTAACTTTTAAACAATCAAGGTTGACAACATGTACATTCTGTTCTTTTTTTTTTTTTTAATTTTTTTGTGGTAAAATACATATAACATATGTCTTTTTAAGTGTACAGTTCAGTGGTATTAAATACTTTGTTCTCTTTGGTAACTGCCATTAGGTCTTCCTTGCTTTTTATCTATGGATTGTTTTGCAAAGTTTATAGCAAAAAACAATGTTGACATTATTATGCTTT